GTTGCCCTGGGGGTGGGGAGTGTGTGGCCAGAGTGAGTGCGGCCTACTGGGTGGGCGTGGATGGAGTGGGTGCGGCCTACTGGGTGGGCGTGGCCAGTTCTACATCATTCGCGTCAAGAGTGCCTATGGAAGCCTGGGCAGGAGTGGGACAGATCTGAGGGTCTCTGGTAGAAGGGGGTGGGACCGGGGCAAATGCCAAGATGGCCACCACAAAATTGTACCTTGGCTCCCGGCCGGCCTGGGCCAGGGCCAAGGCAGCGGGGGCCGTTCCCTCACTGTTTCCAGGATGGCTTCGCGGGCCACATGAAACCACTTCGCGGGCCGCATCCGGCCCCCGGGCCTTGTGTTTGACATGTCTGCCCTACACCATTTCGGACAAATGGCTGTCCAGTCTCTTCTTAAAAACTTCCAGTGTTGGAGCATTCACCGCTTCTGGAGGCAAGTAGTTCCACTGGTTAATTGTTCTAACTGTCAGGAACAGTTAGAACATTTGAGAAATGGGTCAAACTAGGAACATTTGAGAATGGGTCAAACCAGGTTTGATCTGGAAACTGTGCCAAGCCAAAAAAATGGGATGAACAAGGATGTTTGAGATCATTGCTTTAATTTTTGCATGCTTCAGAGTGAGCAATCTTGGGGGGGGGGCGAAGGGGTTAGGGCACCCCAAATTTAATCCTGACATCCCTTATTGTTATAAAGATTCTTGGGGTGTTGTGAACCCTACTTGGTGACCGATCCAGGTCTGGATACCGGGTAACCCCATGGTTGTTAGAGAACACGGTGCCAACCATACTTGTGAACTAGACTTTTCGGCTTAGGTCGGTGTTTATCAACCTTGGCTGTTTGAAGATGTGTGGACTTCAATTCCCAGAATTCCCCAGCCAGCATGGCTGGCTGAGGAATTCTGGGAGTTGAAGTCCACAGATCTTCAAACAAGCCAAGGTTGACAAACACTGGTTTAAAGGCAGATCGAGTGAAAGTTCTGGAATGGCTCCAGATTGGGCACACAAACACACACACACACACACACACACACACCCCAAAAAATAAAGAGAAAAGTGAAATGAAGCAGGACTTCTTCATCCATAGGTTGGCTGCCCTGGTCTCTGCCAGAATTTACCCCAAATATTGCATCTTTAGCTTTTCAAGGCCGCATCTGTATCCCAAATGTGCTCGGACAGCTTGCTCACCCCCGCTGCAGGGGCCCTTCTGCAATTGTTTTTCCAGGGATTTGCAAATCCTCGTTTAATCGGGATTGTCGGATTTGCAGATGTCCACCTAAACAGCCTGTACTTTTGCTATTTTGGTCCGAGAAAGCGCAACGATAAGGCTCTTGTCCCCAATTGCATAACACCATCGGATTATGTAATCTGTCAAAGCTGAATCCTTGATTTGTTTTGATCGGGCTTTGCAGCCTGGCCCTCTTAGCATGCGTCGGTACCCGGTGAACAGGGAGAGAGAATCAGGATGTGTAAAACAACCTCCGGCTTTTGGAAACGGAGCATGTTTGTATTGTGGCTCGTAACGTCCCCTGACAATGCTCTAAAATGGATCCTTTCCAGCTGACCGGCTTTGAACGATGCTTGTATATCCCAGAGCACAAAAGGAAACTTGATGGGACTCCATTTGTGCCCAATTGCTCCTTCCCACCAAAAATTGATGCCGACTTTGGTTGTTTTTCTTGCAAACATTTTGTTACCCAACTAGGTAACATCATCAGTGCTGGAAGCAGTGGTGGGATTCAGAACCAATGGCTCATTTTTTTTGATGCCCAGGCCCAGAACGGACCTCTGGAAGTGGCATCCACACAGAGAACCGGTTGTTCACATATTTGAATCCCATCGCTGCCACACTCCTCCTCTTCCTCTCCCACTCTGCAAGCCTCAAAGAGCCAAAAGTAAGTTAAAGACTTGCTTATTCTTAAAGTGGTTAGTTCTGACTGAAATCCAGGATGGTATCGTAGCTGGCAAACTCGGTTGTAAAGAGAGAAGCCAAAACTGCATCGCCAGGAATGACAAAAAACATCCAGGAAAAGACGCAATCCATCTTGGACTCTTGGGCGTAAAAATTGCAGGTCCTCTGTGGGGGAACCCCCCCCAAATCCTAATGCAGCCTCCAGCTAATCCATTCTTTCTGCAAAAGAGGGCCTCGTTGAGGGCCAGCGCCTCTGCTATTTTTAAGCCCCCGCTTAAAAATTATTTTACAAAAAAAATCCTTCCTTTTTTGCAAAGACACCGTGAACAGGGTTTTAGAGGCAAGGGAGAAGATGCATTTAATTGTAATTTTAAGCCAGCGTTTCCCAATCTTTGGCAAGTTTAAGATAGGTGGACTTCAACTCCCAGAATTCCTCAACCCGCATAGCTGGCTGGGGAATTCTGGGAGTTGAAGTCTACCTATCTTAAACTTGCAAAAAGGCTTTTTCTAAGGCATTTAAAACCTTATTAAACACCGTAATTCCAGTTTTTAAAAATGTGCAGCGCTTCTTTGAGATGTCCCCTCTGCTCTGTCCGCCAAGTTTATTTCTGACATTCACTCTTTATTGTGGAGAATCATTGGATTTGGGCCCGAATTTGGGGGAAGGCTTAGCATTTTATTCCTGGAAATTCTTTTTATCACGCCCGAAACACATTCCTCGGTGTTTGATCATGTACGGAAATAAGGACCGATCCAGAAAGGAGATTTTTAAAAAGAAAAAAAAAAGAGGCAAAGAGGCTTCGTTTCAAAACTGGGAAGGGTTTTGTAACCCCACCCGTTAGCTTTATTCACACAAACATCTTAATTTACAAAGCTGCTGTCATTCATACACAATCAGGATTTCCACAGTGTTCTGAGGATTTAAATACAAGGTCGCACACCAACCCAAGTAAACCAAAAAATAAAAAAAAAAGTTGAAACGATAAAATAAGTTTTATTCAAACGCAGGTCCTAAGAGTTACCAGCTTCTGTGCAAAGAAAAGGGAAGAGAATTCACTTTAAGACTAGCACGGGAAAACAGCCCCTTTAAGACGTTCCTTCTGGACATATTTTTTTTCCCCGGGACCCATGTCCATGTTTGCAATGGGCCACGTTTGGGCCTGGATCCTATGAAGAAAAAAAAAAAGGGGGGGGGGGCCTTGGGCACCTCTCAGGAGTATCTGGAAAGGATTTTTTTTAAAAAAAACAAGATGGTGGTCATAACGACATGGCGCATATGGACTATTTTGACCTTTCGTGATCACTCTTCAATGACTGCTCTTCTAGACCAGGGGTCTTCAAAACTGGACAACTTTTAAGACTTGTGGACTTCGACTCCCAGAATTTCTCGGCCAGTGGATTGGTGAATTCTGGGAGTCGAAGCCCACAAGTCATAAAGTTGCCCAGTTTGGAGACCCCTGGTCTAGACTATGGGTTTTCCAGCTTCTTCAACCCAATGGGCCTGCAGTTAAGTTCTAGATATCCCTTTAAGTTCTAGGTATCTCTACCAGTTGGTATCTAGTTCCAGATTATCTAGTTCTACCAGAAACTAGGTATCCAGTATCTAGATATCCGTTAAGTTCTAGATATCCTTATCAGTTGGTATCTAGTTCCAGATTATCTAGTTCTATCAGAAACTAGGTATCTAGTTCTAGATATCCATTAAGTTCTAGATGTCCCTATCAGTTGGTATCTAGTTCCAGATAACCTAGTTCTACTAGAAACTAGGTATCCAGTATCTAGATATTTGTTAAGTTCTAGATATCCCTACCAGTTGGTATCTAGTTCCAGATATCTAGTTCTACTAGAAACTAGGTATTATCTAGATATCCGTTGTTCTGGATATCTCTACTAGTTGGCATATAGTTCCAGATATCTAGTTCTACTAGAAACTAGGTATTATCTAGATATCCGTTGTTCTGGATATCTCTACTAGTTGGCATATAGTTCCAGATATCTAGTTCTACTAGAAACTAGGTATTATCTAGATATCCGTTGTTCTGGATATCTCTACTAGTTGGCATATAGTTCCAGATATCTAGTTCTACTAGAAACTAGGTAGCTAGACATCCCTTAATTCTAGATATCCCTACTGGTTGAGAGAAACCTGGAAATAGTTTCTGGAGGTCCTTCAAGTCAGGAAAACCCTGACCCTTGGAAAAGCAGCAGAGGAAATGAAAGGGGATGACCTGGGCAGTGGTCTGTTTTGGCCAGGCGGAGGAAATTCTGTAACAGGAAGACCCACGTTCTTCAACTCAACATGGCAAAAAGAATTTGGATGCCAATGAGGGGTGTACAATTTTGGAACCAAGCACGGCAAAGGAGGCGCCTAGCAACTACTCAACCGCAAGGAGTGAGGTAGCTTTCCCATCATGTGGGTCCAAGTCAGGTATTCCAGGAAGCGAAGTCCGATTGTCATTATTACTTAAAAGAATTCAGACATCAACTTCCGACAGTTTTTAGCAACGATCGTTTAATTCCGTGCAGTTTGAGAACTGCTGCTGATCTCGGGATGCCCGAAGGATTTTGCTCCGAAGATCCGAGCAAAGCTCCGGACACAAAGGGTGTTGGATTCTAAAAAGGCCCCAAATTATCTTCTTCATTTAGGAATTTGGGGCTGACGGTATATATCCGGGTTGTCCGACCTTGTGGACTTCAACTGCCAGAGTTCCATTCTGGGAGTTGGAAGTCCACAAAGTCTTAGCAGTTGTTCCCCCATCAATCACAACAAAATCTGGGGCTAGTTAAAAATCTACTTCTGAAGGAACATTCCCAGCTGTGCTCTTGAGATTTAACCATTTGGTCACTGGAAAAAACAGATCCACCCCTTTACTGACAGCCTGTTTGGGTCAGCCTGTTTCTGTGGGTTAGTAAGGTCCACTAGGCAACTGAGCAGACTTACATCCAGGCAGACCGTCTGTAGCTAGACACTGTAATGCAGGGGTCTTCAAACTTGGCCCTTTTAGGACTTGTGGACTTCAACTCCCAGAATTCCTCAGCCAGGCACGCGTGCCTGGCTGAGGAATTCTGGGAGTTGAAGTCCACAAGTCCTAAAAGGGCCAAGTTTGAAGACCCCTGCTGTAATATGTTGAGGAATCTGTCTCTCTCTCTCGCACGCGCACACACACAGACAAAAAAAAAAAAAAAAGATTATTGCTCTATTCAAGACTCTGGCAGTGTTTCGAGACGGCCCAGAGTGGGAACCTGAGGGAGCAAAGATATTAGGAGAACACGAAGCCGATGAGGAGCACCTCAACGCTTCAGCACAAGATCAGGAAGAACTGGAGATCCTGAGGATTTGAGTCCCTGCCTCTCTGGCGTGGGTCAGCTGAAGGCACGGCCTGGAAAACAACCAGCTTGCAGAGAGATTAGATCAGGGGTCTTCAAACTTGGGCTTTTTTATGACTTGCGGACTTCAACTCCCAGAATCCCTCGGCCAGCGTGCCTGGCTGAGGAATTCTGGGAGCTGAAGTCCACAAGTCATCAAAGGGCCAGGTTTGAAGACCCCCCCCCCAACTTATAACCATGCCTTGGGTCTATCAAGAATGGTGTCCTACAATCCAGCTGGAGATGACAGCAGCTGTGGACTTTGTAAAGGCTACATTTAAGTAGTCAGATATAGTGAGAAGAAGGAAGAGATACCGATAGGCAACTGTGCCAAAGAGGTTAAGCCTAGAGTTTTTTGGGGGGTCTAGAACAGAGGCGGGGAATACGGTGCCTTTATGACCTGTGGACTTCAACTCCCAGAATTCCTGGCTGAAGAATTCTGGGAGTTGAAATCCAGAGATCATAAAAGGGGGCCACAGTTCCTCACCCCTGGCTTAGAATCTGATCAGAGTCAACGGGGTGAGTTCAAACGTTAGTTTCTTGACGACACAGAACTATCCAGGTTTGGCGCTCTCTTTTTCATTCCCCTGCCTGCCAAATGGAGAACGGACCGCCAACGCGTAAAAAGGAAACGGGAAGATCTCACCGGATGTGCAAGGAGAGGACCGGCGTGCGTGGATGGCATGTGGCGCCCTTAGAAAAGCTGCCCAACTGTGCATTTTGGGTGCTAGATTCTCCCATCCTGGCAACGAAAAGTAGGAATCCAGTCGTGAGGAAGGTTCTGAATGGACCGGGCTCAGGTGCCCACCTCACTTTCAACCGGAAAGCCCAAGGTCAGATTCCAGCCCACACCGCCAGCTGTAAAACGGCAAGCTTAGATGTAAACAGGTTAATACAAAGGCCTAGCCAACACATGAGAACAATTTGTTTTACGCCAGCGAGATCTGAGAGTTCTCAACAATAAATTAACAATGTCCATTCAATATCCATTTGACCGGTGACTAGGGGGGGGGGCTTCTGAGTGGAGGTGAGGGAGGTCTGCCTTTCTCTCTGAAATCCGGGAGACACCAGGAGGTCTATTGCTTGTGACACAACACAATCGCATACACGAAGTTAAATAAGGAAGGTCACACCCAGATGCAGGCCGAGGCTCTCGTCCTTAGGAACGAGGGCAAATGATCTTAGGAGGACACCGTACTTAGAGGCTGCTAGCTTCTAGAAACGTGTTGGCAACTGAGGCAGTCAACCCAAGAAGCCATTTATCCGTGTCTAAAGAGGTTTTGTGGGCCACCGAGAAGAAGACCGACATGGACTAGATTGCAAATGTGGAGACCGGGGCTATGCTGAAACACAACTCCCAGCCCAAAGAGTGCTTTCCTTAGCTTCGTTCATTTCTCACAAGAGGCTTTCAAAATCCTTGAGTAAGGCACTTGAATAAGGTCTAAAGCAGGGGTGTCCACCAGCTTTAAGACCTGTGGCCTTCAATTCCCAGAATTCTGGGAGTTGAAGTCCACAAGTCTTAAAAGATCTAAGTTATCACCACAAAAGCCACCATTAAGTTCAGCTACCGAGGGCCGCTTGCTGGAACAGCCCATCAGCTGCAACCAAGTCAAGGCTTCCTCTACACACATGCGCACCCACGCACACTTCCCTCAAAGTGCAGACGTGACAATGCCCGGGTCCCTTGGCTGGAGCCACACAAAAGCATGCGAGACTTTTGACCCGCAACGTTAACATGGGCTTGTGCCTGGCTGAATGGACCAACCGGCCTGAGACTACCCTATATGGGAAAATGGGAGCCCTCAAATCTTAATTAGGGGCAAGCAGGTTTCAAACAGGGCTTGTCAACACCTTAAACTTGGATCCCACTCTTCTCCCCCCCCCCAAACTGGCTAGTTTGGGGTGATAACAGAAACATCCAGCAGTGTTCCTCTTGGCAAATAGTTTTAGTTGAGTTCATCTGGGATCTCAAGCTTCAAAGGACCTCTTTTGATGTCTGTCCTGTCAGTCATGAACAGGGCTGTGTAGATTTGCAAATGGAAAAAAAACCTTCTAAGCCACGTTACATCCACAATAAGACGGATATTCCTGGTCTAAACCTGGCTGCATATAAGAAAGGAATGCCAATATTGTGTACGGTAAATCTGTTTCAATAGCTGCAGCACCCAATCCTTGAGAATCTTAGGGACAACATCAGCAGCCATTCAAATTACCTGGTTCATCTTCTACCAGGGGTGAAAGTCAAAGTGTGGATCCAGTTTTACGATGCTGACCCAACTGTGTCTTCCTTCTGTTGAAGGAACGGTGGCAACCGCCAGACCAACATATAAGGCTGATTTAAAGGAGCAGGAGAGTCATTCAAAGCAGCCGGTCAGCTGAAGAGTAGCAACTGGCTAAGGCTTTACAAGAACAACGGAATGATAATCTTAGGGGATAGCTACTTAGGGCAGTTGTTTAAAATTGGGAATCATCCTGGTGTATGCATAAATGTAGACACGCCACAAGGCTGTAGTGGTGAGAAAGATACTTCTTCACTCGGAAGAAGCCCTAGGCCTAGAACAGGGGTAGGCAACCTTGCCTCTTTGATGACGCGTGGACTTCAACTCCCAGAATTCCTGAGCCAGCCTGGCTCAGCTTGGAAACCTCTCCCTTTCCCCTCAGCCTGGCTGGCTCAGGAATTCTGGGAGTTGAAGTCCACCAGTCATCAAAGAGCCAAGGTTGCCGACCCCTGGCCTAGAGATTTAAGAAAGGGCCTGCACTTCTGCAGAAGGGAAGAAATGTCAAGCAGACCAAGTGCAAAACTCGGAAAAAAAATGATGTTAAGTTATTCACTTGATTTTAGGCTGGCTGATTTTGGCCAGCCAAGGGCTAGCTATTAAGCTACTGATGCCTAGACACAGACTTAGGATAGCTTTTTCTACACAAAGGCCATTTCTATGGATGCTCACCATCCTTTCTAAACCCCACGCGTGCCCTTTCTCGATCTGTAAAATTTGGCACACAGACACACAGGCTCCTGTGATGGTTAGATCGGAGTTTCTAACCCAGCAGCCAAAATGGTGTGTGTGTGTGTGTGCCTTAAATATCCCCATCAAATGTCACGCATTTAGGTTCCCCGGATGTAGGTCATTTTGAAAAAGGGGAGCAGGAATACTTATCCAACTGTGTTTCTAGCTTTAGGGGCTAAGCAGCAGAAATAAAAAAAAAAAAGAAGTATTTTGTCACCAGATCTTCATACTCTCAACTAAATATCACCCTGCTCAACGGCATTAAGAGAGAAGGGGAAAAAAAGAAATCTTTATGTACATTTTGTCCCAGAATTCTGGTACTTAACATTAGCAGCAACAGAAAATTATTTTGTCAGGGCTTGCCCCACCCCCACCATCCCAGTATTTTTGTTGAAGTGAAAAAGGAATTCCAAATGAATTGCACCGATCAAATGAACGAGCAAAGCTGAAGCTGGCAGGAAATAAAGGAAGGGGGAAATGTAAAAAGAAGGAAAAAAAAAAGAGGAGTTAACAGTTTTATTACGAAGTCGGTTGCAGCAGCAGCTCCTGCCCCCCCCCGTGAATGTCTTGGGGTTTCCAGATGAGTTTCAAAGCTTCACGATATCAGAGAACTTGCTGTCCGTGTTAGATAGACTCTTCTTAGTTTGCGTGTTCGTCGGGGAGACTCGGGGTCCCTGTAAAAAATCCTGCAAGACAAAAAAAAAAAAAAAAAAGGAAAAGCATTCATGAAATATTTGTTATCGGAGCTCTCGTATTTATTTATTTTAAATAATTTATGCTGAAAATCGGTTAACAACGGATTATGGAGAAACTGTACACTGAACTTTACAAGGCCTTGATAAGGCCACACTTGGAATCCTGCAACCGGTTTTGGTCACCACGATGTAAAAAAGATGGTGAGACGCTAGAAAGAGTGCAGAGAAGAGCAACAAAGAGGATCAGGGGACTGGAGGCTAAAACATATAAGGAACGGTTGCTGGAATTGGGTATATGTCTAGTCTAATGAAGAGAAGGGTATATCTAGTTTAACGAAGAGAAGGACAAGGGGGGACATGACAGCAGTCTTCCAGTATCTCAGGAGCTGCCCCAAAGAGGGAGTCAAGCTATTCTCCAAAGCGCCTGAAGGCAGGATGAGAAGCAATGGATGGAAACTGATCAAGGAGAGAAGCAACCTAGAACTAAGGAGAAACTTCCTGACAGTTAGAACAATTAACCAGTGGAACAACCTGCCTCCAGAAGCGGTGAATGCTCCAACACTGGAAGTTTTTAAGAAGAGACTGGACAGCCATTTGTCCGAAATGGTATAGGGTTTCCTGCCTGAGCAGGGGGTTGGACTAGATTGCATCATCATCATCATCATCATCTTGGCTGATTCTTAAATGCCAGTGGAGAAGCAAACTTTGTTTTCTGAAATTCCTTGATATGGGTGGGTCTTTGGGGCTCTCTTGAGGTTGATGGTTTTCTTGCAGACGTTTCATGAGCCAACTAAGTAACATCATCAGTGCTAGAAGGGAGTTGGGTTTGCGGAGAGGAGGGGGATGAGGAAGACTGGGGGGGGGGTCCTTGGTGCTCTCTAAACTTGGTTATTTTCTTGCAGACATTTTATGACCCAACTAGGTAACGTCATCAGTGCTAAAAGGAAGTGGGGCTTCCTCTCTTTTTATATACAAGCAGCAATCAACATCCAGCGAAGCAGAGATCAATACTGGGCCAGCCATTGAGAAGTAAATAACCCAATCAAGGAACTACCAACTAGACAAACAATCAAACTGTACTCGGCCCCCCAATCAAGGAATTGCCAACAATATTCCTTCCCACCCACAATGACAGGGCAAGGCACTAGTATGCAAAGAAAACAACCCCAAAGTTTGCAGAATTCTCACCAAGATTTCATACACTGGGAACGTGTGAGAAAACATGTGTTCTTGGTGTACTTTCCTTCAATTAATATTTGCCACCTCATGGTTCGGCACAAATAAGTGGACACTTGTTAGCATCATATTGTCATATTCAAGTGTAATTGTTTATTGTCTGAGATGGTATAGGTTCTCCTGCTTGAGCAGGGGGCTGAGAGGGACCTCGGAGTCCTAGTGGACAATCACTTAAATATGAGCCAGCAGTGTGCGGCAGCTGCCAAAAAGGCCAACACAGTGCTAGGCTGCATTTACAGAGGGATAGAATCAAGATCACGTGAAGTATTAATACCACTCTACAATGCCTTGGTAAGGCCACACTTGGAATACTGCATCCAGTTTTGGTCACCACGATGTAAAAAAGATGTTGAGACTCTAGAAAGAGTACAGAGAATAGCAACAAAGATGATTAGGGGACTGGAGGCTAAAACATATAAGGAACGGTTGCGAGAATTGGGTATGTCTAGTTTAACGAAGAGAATGACAAGGGGGGACATGATAGCAGTATTCCAATATCTCAGGGGCTGCCATAAAGAAGAGGGAATTAAGCTATTTTCCAAAGCACCTGAAGGCAGGACAAGAAGCAATGGGTGGAAACTAATCAAGGAGAGAAGCAACCTAGAACTAAGGAGAAACTTCCTGACAGTGAGAACAATTAATCAGTGGAACAGCCTGCCTCCAGAAGCAGTCAATGCTCCAACACTGGAAGTTTTTAAGAAGAGACTGGACAGCCATTTGTCCAAAATGGTGTAGGGTTTCCTGCCCGAGCAGGGGGTTGGACTAGATGACCTCCAAGGTCCCTTCCAACTTTACTATTATTACAAAGGTCCCTTCCAGCTCTATTTATTCTGTTCTGATTTGTTCTGTATTTTCTATTCTGTTCTGGTCTGTTCTGATCTATTCTATTCTATTCTAAAATCTGTCTATTCTATTCTATTCTATTCTAATTTTTTATTCTATTCTATATTTTCTATTCTATTCTGATCTATTCTATTCTCAAATCTGTCTATTCTATTCTATCCTATCCTATTCTATATTTTTTATTCTATTCTATATTTTCTATTCTGTTCTGATCTATTCTTTTCTCAAATCTGTCTATTCTATTCTATTCTATTCTATTCTACAATCTGTTTATTCTATTCTATTCTATTCTATTCTATTCTATTCTATTCTATTCTATTCTATTCCATTCCATATTTCTATTCTATTCTATTTCTATTATCTGTTTATTCTATTCTATTCTATTCCATTCCATATTTCTATTCTATTCTATTCTATTCTATTCTATTCTATTCTACAATCTGTTTATTCTATTCTATTCTATTCTATTCTATTCTATTCTATTCTATTCTATTCTATTCTATTCTATTCTACAATCTGTTAGTCGAGGACTGCCTATGTACACTGATATCCAGGCCGGGAAGACAAACACGCATGTCCATGACATCATCGATAATTCACAAAGTTTGCACCTCCTAATTGACCTGGGTCACAAGGGAAACCGAGATTGGGCTGGCTTTTTAGCTTCCACCATCCAAACTCAGTCACCAAGTTTCTTGGGGCAATCCTCCTCAGCCCTCCCGGGTGGAAAGCCCAATTAGTCTTCCGAAGAAAACAATGGCTGAAAGTATGCAGTAATTAGAAATGGGTTTATCTCCTGCGCCAATTTGCTTGCCGGATTTGGCAAGGGTGTTTCTGAAATCGGAGCTGCGGGAGTGTCAACGTTGGCCCCTTAGGGAGAATTCTGCTGAGGCCGCCATAATTAGCATCACGTCAAAGCAAAGCAAGGACCAGCTATTTTACAGAATCAGCTAAAGCAGATAAACCACTAGTAATAACAACAACAACAATAATAATAATAATTTAAAAAAGTCTGGGAGGCAAAGAAGATTGTTCTGCTAGTCAGTTTTGGAAGGCCTGGTTTTGGCAAAACCCTGCCACAAATATATGGCGCCTCCCATTTTTACTGTCCAAGTCAAATAACACAACAGAACAGAGCTGGAGGGGACCTTGGAGGTCTTCTAGTCCAGCCCCCTGCTCAGGCAGGTAACCCTATACCATTTTGGGCAAACAGTTGTCCAGTCTCTTCTTAAAAACTTCCAGTGTTGGAGGATTCACAACTTCTGGAGGCAAGTAGTTCCACTGGTTAATTGTTCTGACTGTCAGGAAATTTCTTCTTAGTTCCAGGTTGCTTCTCTCTTTGGTTAGTTTTCATCTGTTGCTTCTTTTCCTGGTTTTTGGTGCTTTGGAGAATAGCTTGACTCCCTCTTCTTTGGGGCAGCCCCTGAGATATTGAAAGGTAGCTATCATGTCACCCCTCGTCCTTGTTTTCATTGAACTAGATATACCTTGATAATTAAAGGCTTATAATGGAAAGACAGCATAGAACATAGAATTATAGAGCTGGAAGGGACCTTGAAGGTCTTCTAGTCCAACCCCCTACTCAAGCAGGGGACCCCATACCAGGGGTTTTCAAACTTGGCCCTTTTATGACTGGTGGACGTCAACTCCCAGAATTCCTCAGCCAGTGTGAGGGAACTGACCCTTTTGTGGACTTCAACTCCCAGAATTCCTCAGCCAACATGAGGGAACTATGACCCTTTTATGACTTGTGGACTTCAACTCCCAGAATTCCTCAGCCAACATGAGGGAACTATGACCCTTTTATAACTTGTGGACTTCAACTCCCAGAATTCCTCAGCCAGAATGAGGGAACTATGACCTTTTTATGACTGGTGGACTTCAACTCCCAGAATTCCTCAGCCAGCGTGCCTGGCTGAGGAATTCTGGGAGTTGAAATCCACTAGTCATAAAAGGGCCAAGCTTGAAGACCCCTGCCCTGTAACACTTTAGACAAGTGGCTGTCCAGCCTCTTCTTAAAAACCTCCAGGGATGGAGTACCCACAACGTCTGCCATCTTCAATAACCCAGAGGCTCCTGTTCACGTTTGCGTCATTTGAAAACTGGGGTGGGTTTTTTGTGTGTGTTCCATTTTATGACTTACAGCACGTTTCATCAGAGGCAACAGAGAAGCTGGACTGGGGTGGTGATTAAACTGGGATGAGAGAGGGCGGGGAGGACAAGCTGGTGAGGATTTTGAATCTCTTAGCAATTCCGAATTTTTTTGTTGTTGTTAATTGCGAAGTCATGTCCGACCCATCGCGACCCCATGGACAATGTTCCTCCAGGTCTTCCTGTCCTCTACCATGTTCTGGAGTCCATTTAAATTCACACCTCCTGCTTCAGTGACTCCATCCAGCCATCTCATTCTCTGTCGTCCCCTTCTTCTCTTACCCTCAATCTTTCCCAGCATTAGGCCCTTCTCCAGTGAGTCAATTTCGAATTATCTTTTTATCAATTAGCAACTCTAGCGTGTCCCGGCACCAGACACCTTTGAGCTCAACTGCAGTCGGTTAAGTCGAGGACTCCCTGGAAAATGCAACGGGGCAAGCTTTGACTGTAGCCAGACACGCCAATCTGGCTCCAAGGCAGTTCATCAAAGGACGCTGTCACGGGAAGCGAGTTCAAAAGAAAGAGAATGCCCTACTTTTAACAGACCGGCAACTGAGCCTGTGTAAACAAGGCAGGACTCTCGCTTGGAAGCACGCAAGGGGTCAGCCAGTGTGTGTGTATATAACTCTCCCCCCCCCCTTTCTGTTATATAAGGAGCAGCCCTCTTTCGTTGCATTTGGAGAAGACCCATTCCTGACTCAGCTCGTGACCAAGGGAGGGGGGGGATAGGGGCAGAGGGCCAGCCCCAGCCCCCCCAAACA